ACTCAAAAATTAGGCTGTTCGCAGACGATTGCGTTGTTTACCGACCAGTCGCAAACTGCTCTGATCATATCGCCCTGCAGAGGGATCTAACAAGAATTAACACTTGGTGCGATCGTTGGCTTATGCCTCTTAACTACGAGAAGTGCAAACTTGTATCATTCACGCGGAAAAAATCTATTCTTTCTTAGTCATACTCACTTGATGGCGTTTCAATTGGCTCTACTCCCTCATACAAGTACCTCGGTATCCATCTGTCTTCCACACTTTCTTGGATTCATCATATCGACGTCATCACTGCTGATGCTTCGCGGACTCTCGGCTACTTAAAGCGGAATCTAAAATCAGCACCTTCTCACCTAAAGCAACTAGCGTACACTACATTCGACCGCCCCAAACTCGAGTACGCCTCGTCCATCTGGCATCCATCACAAGCTTACCTCAGCGACAGTCTGGAAGGAATTCAAAATCGTGCAGCCCGATTCATTTCATCAGCATACTCCCGCGACACCAGCGTGACACAGCTTAAACTTACTCTCGAGCTTCCACTGCTCTCTGACCGCAGAATAATCTCGCGATTATGTCTCTTACATAAATTTTACCACGCTAGCACCAACTTATCTAACTCCCTGATATCACCTCCTGACAGAATTTCGTCACGCCTCAATCACAGCCGTTGCATCAAACGCATAACAGGCAAAACGTTAGCATTTAATACGTCATTCTTTCCTCATGCCATAACTATCTGGAACTCTCTTCCTGAAAAAATCATCCTTATTACTGACCAATCCGCTTTTCGCCAATCAGTGACTGCACATATCCAATAAATTTTAACCATTTTAACCTGTATTACTGTGACTATTGATTTTACATCAATTTTTTGTTTGTTCTATTTTTGTGTTTGTATGTTTTGTATTACCCCACAAGCTTCCCCCCCTTATGTAATGCCCCACAGGGCCCTTAAGGAGAAATAAATGAAATGAAATAAGTTAACCTTGAATGCTAACCGTTCCGGAATGGTGTATGATATGATTATGATCATAAAAAAACATACTAGCTACAGTCGGACGTAAGAAAGATGAACACAAGGGAGCGATGGCCCGGCCGGCGATAAGGCGACACGGGGCGCTACGATAGCTTAAGCACGCTGGGGCATCGATTACCGATTCAGTCCACTCTTAGATGAACGGAGGACGTCAGCACACCGAAGCCGTTAACAAAGCGCACTTTACAAACGACACAGCGTGACTGTGCACATGTGTTCTGTTTTCACTCGCTCCTAGCTTGAGAGCAGGGCTATCTTTTTTTATCGGTGTATTACCGTCATTTACGATTTACTCACGCTGAACTGTCAAGGCTGCCGAATGAGGGAAAATAAAAAGCGTCGTCTCAGGCATGACCCCTCACGTAAAAAAAACAGGCCGCCCGTGAAAATAAACAACAATATTATTACAAACGATAACTCTCTCCAAGCTCCCCTGCGATTCAAAAGTGGGAACGTCCCGGTCACTCCCGCCCCCCGTGTTATCGCGAGCGAAATACAGTGCCGCATCTGGCGGTTTCCCCGCGCCGGCCATGCATCACTTGTGTTCACCTTTTTAAAAAGCCAACTGTACTTCATGTGCCAAAGTAAGAGGAAACGCCCAAATAAGGGCTTCTTTTTTCTTTTTAGCGCAATAGCCACATCGCCGGTAGTCGGATACGTGGAAGAAAAATATAAGTAAAGTGATGGTTTTATGGTTCTTCTGAGATTTTTTTGTAATATAAGGAAATAGGCAACATAGAGCTTCAACTTGGCGAGGATACATTGATCTAAAGCAAAAAATACTAGTCCACAAAAGTCGGGAATGTAACACTTCCTTATTCTGGAGCGAGTTAAAGAGCTGAATTTGACCGCTTTTCAATCGGATTTTATTTATGAACGATATTTTGTTTTTTACGCGATTATATTACGACACCTGCAAACCATGACACTAACGTCTGCTTGAACAATTTTCAATTTGTATTTTACGCGATGCAAGTAACTTGATGCTGCAAACAGAGTTTCGGTAAACTTGCTAGGTCCAAAATATTGAAAAAAAGTGTAATATCTAGCCTCACAAAATGCTGGAGTAGATAAAGAACGTCAGACATCTTATGCCCAGGATGTTAGATAGCATACGTCATCAATCACACTGGTACGAGACAAACATTTTAGGGGTGCCAGTAGCAAAGCATGGTATCCTAGAAACGTATTTTTGTTGTTGTTGTTGTTGTTTTTCCTGGTGTTATGTGAAATTCACCGTTGACCCTCGACCTAACAACAGATAATTCTGCGAGCTCTGTGGGGTTGTGCATACTGAATAATATTTGGTAGAGCTCAACTAGGAGCGGTAAACGAAGGTAACTTTTATTTGAATAACCTCTGAGTTTATGGTGCCATTTTGTTTCTTCTGTCTCGTGTTTGCAAGCTGCTTTGAATATATCAGTTAACATATTTTCCAACATCGCCATGCGTTAAGAAGAAGGTACTTAAAACACACACACACACACACACACACACACACACACGCACAGACACACACAAAGCAGCTGCACGAAAATTGTTATCGCTCAAAGCGTAACAAAAGAATCTTATGAAAAAACAGTACCTTCATATGCAAGGAATGGTCTTGCACGGAGTAATTTATTCTCAATAATCCTCATTGCAGTCTACATTCATTGCCTTGCAAGTAGCTTGCAAGAAAAAAGGGATACACGTAACTTGGCGTACCGTTTTTCAGAAATTTCATTTTCGTCTCTGCTGTGTTCGCGAACATTTGGTGATAAATTGCTTAGCTTATATGTTTACGCTTAATTTTATCTCGCCCTAGAGATCCATAGAATTTACATCTAATTACAATTCGGAGCGCACTCTAAAAAAAGGGTGTAGCCATTACACCCGTTGTAATATGTAAGACACCCTAAAACTTCAGTTCGACGTAGAGCGTACTGACGTCGAACTGACGATCCCATCGCTTACAAGAGGCTTGATGACGGTGAGATATAACTAGGGTGTGTATTTTCCGGTTTTAACCGAAAAACGCCGATGAACATCCGTCGGTGACGAAAATACAAAATTGGTTAAAACCGAAAAACACCGGTGGTTGGATATTTTCGCCCAGGTTAAAACCGAAAAACACCGGTCGTTGCATGTTTCCGACCTTGCGAAATCCTTTCCACGTAGAGGTTCGTCCAACGTGTTATCTCGTGGATCCTGTGGCGTCAGTCCGCCTTCCTTTCTGGGGGTCAAAAGCGTCAAGTTAACGCAGTCGAAGCTAAGCTCTCACATGCCTTTCCCCCATTGTGTCTCCCATGGCCCCCTTTTGTGGAAAAATTAACGCAGTGGAGGGTACGCTTTCACGTGCCCTTTCCCCATTGTGTCTGGCTAAGTGATGTCGGTGCAAGCATGTATTCAGAGGTTGCTGTGGTTCCTGGAAGACACTGCCAACATCCGTGTCGTACAGGGCTACTGACCTTTGAGAACTGAAATGCGTTCATTGCTATCTGTTTAGTTTCCACGGGCTTTTGGAGAAACGGAAAAAGGGTTTTTTTGGCTTGGGGGTTTTTCGCTGTACATAAAAGGACCGTTTTGTAAAAAAATTTCCAGTCGTGTTTGAGAAGGCGTGTCCGTCCCGCGTCTGCGGGTTATCCCAACGTGATACTTGCTTCCCTTCGTCGAACACTTCAATCATCGTCGTCACGCGGAGTAGAAGGCCACCAGGATGGGAAGCAAGCGGAAAGCTCCGGATGACTGCGCTAAGGAGTATCCAGATTTCGACACGTGTACAGACCCTTTGTCCATGGTCTGCAAGCACTGCGGAATCACGGTAAGCCTCAAAGATGGAAAAGGGGCTACAAGGATCACCGAGCACATAACATCCAAGCGTCACGTCCAGCTCAAGAAACCACGTCTTGATCCATGTAAGTAATTTTTTCCCGTGTTCTCATTTCGTTTACAATGAGAAAAACTACCGCAATGTCTCACTTTTATGAGAGAATATCGTGTCTTGAATCTCTAGAATCAGAGTTTCCATAATTTGTAATTTTTTCTCGTTTCAGCCGGGAGTGCTCAGGTACCCCACCAAAGCTCTTTGGAGGAATGCATCACACGCGTCTCAAGGAAGAAAGATGATGCCGACGACGTGGCGCACAAATTCTGCAGAGCTCTCTGCAAGGCTGGCATCTCTCTCAAGAAGACTGATGGACCCCTTGGAGAACTCTTCCGAGATATGTGCCCCACAGCCCGTACAATGCCGTCTGCTGCCATGATGTACCGCAAGTACTTACCCGACGTATTCGCAAGGGATTTGTCTAAGGTTCAGGAACAGTGCAAGAATCGTCCTATTTCTCTCACAGTCGACGAGACACCAGAACTCCGTGGCCGACCAGCGGTTGCCGTGCTCGTAACATTCTTTGATTTCGAGCTTCTCCAACGAAAGACTTTTATGGCAGATCTCCAAGTGCTCCAGCAGTGCAACGCCGTTGCCGTTGGGGTGCTCGTTCAAGAAGTTCTGGGGAAGCTTGGGAAGAGTTTTCGCGATGTGTGCGCCCTTTCCTCAAACTCGGCATCGTATATGCATAAGCTGCACAGAGACCTTCAGCTCTCTCAACCTGACTTTATAGCACTGCACTTTAAGGACCCTTGTCATCTTCTCAACGTTACTCTCAACGAAGGCATGAAACTGGTTGAGTTCGGGGTTGTTCAGGACTTTGTCGTCCACTTCCCTGCCCTCCTGAAAAGTTCGCGAGAGATACGGCGTAAGTTCAACGTGCTTTGTCAGTCCATAAATCTTGAGCCGAAGTGCCACTCCACTGTGAGCCCCTCACGGTGGGTTTCTTTTTACGAGGCACTCGCTGATGTGTTGCATTACTGGCGCCCAATTTCGTCCTTTCTGAAAAGTAGTGATGCAGTTGGCGAGAAGTGCAGGAAACTCAGAGTGCTTGTCTCAGATCCCGAGTCTTCACAGGAACTTTTCATTAAGATGACTTTCATTCACGAGACATCGAGTTCGTTACTCGCTATCATGAAGGTTCTTGAGTCCGAGAAAACCTTGATGCACGAGGTGTATTCTCTTCTCAAGGTAAAACTTGCAGCTTTGTTGAAAAGATGGAATAGCATGCCAACAGAAAGCTATGGCAGTGTTGACCTACTTTTGAACATGACTGAAGAGGCTCTGAGGTTAAAGCTTGTTGATTCCTTCTCTGCCTACTATCAGATGATTCAAAGCAAGTGGTTTAGGACTGTTTCCCGAAACATCTCTGATGAATTAGATTTCATGGATGAATCGCCGTTCTGGTTCCGCGTGCAAATTGTTAATCCGTGCATAAAAGTAGAGCTGCCAGAGGGATTCGTGCCTTATGAGAGCATTTATCGACTGGTCCTCCGAGACGAGCGCATGCTGAGTGACCTAGAATCAGAGTTTCTTTGTTACCGCCAGTATGCTGTGACTAGCACCGTTGATCCAGTGTTATTTTGGAACCTTCATTTACCTGACTGGCCACTACTGTCCCAAGCCTCGCTGGACATTTTAGGATTTCCTGTGTCCAGCGCAAATGTGGAGCGAGCGTTTTCAAAATTGCGGGTTGTGAACCGCAAGGAACGTGCTGCCATGACCGATGCAAGCCTCTCGAAGTATGCTTGCATCTACTATAATAACCAAGTGTGAGAAATAGATGCTTCCTCGAGAAGAAGTGTACGAAATATGTGAATAAAATTGGAATTCTCTGTTTGTGATGAATCGCATATTTTTCCACCGATAATCACCGATTTTAGCCTCGTTGTGAGACGTTCCACCGAAATACACCGGTGCTTCGAAAATAAATAAACACCGAAAAACATCCGCCGATTTTTCTCACAAATAAACACCGGAAAGTACACACCCTAGATATAACATATAAAAAAACTAAAGTACTGATCAAAGACTACAAAAAAAAAGACGAAATACATAAAGGTTCGCCAGTAGCTTGCAGTAAGTCATGTACATTAGTTATTTTAATAAGTTATACAACTCCACTACCAAGCCGCTCGTGAAAGTTGGTACCTTCGGTTCAACATCACTACGCTGTATGACGAACAGAAGTTATGGGTGTATTATATATGACGAGGGCCGGGTGTAAGAATATACCTTTTTTTCTGAATACATGCGGTCTGCATATAAGATTTTGAAAATAATTCAATACGAAATTCGTTACGACTTACCATCGATGAACCGCACGTAACCATACGTATTTCCTCGCCACTAGATGGCCTTATTTACAAACTGAGACCGCACTTCTGCTTCCTTGTAGTTATTGCCTCCAATTATTGGAGGCAATAACAATATCTTACTCGGGGGGGGGGGGGGGGGAACTAGACGGTGATTAGCTATCAGGCGCCGTGCGTGCCGTTTGTGCTCAGATGATAGACGGTTTTAGTAGGTCGTTCTGATACCTCCAATAACTATACCGGATAACGACATGATGCATGCCCGTAGGCGCCCAAGCAGCACCAGAAAGTGAATTTCGATCGATCGACGGTGGGCCAGTGTCTGGACAGCTTGGCCACTTTAAGTACTTGGCCACCGGAGACATAAACAAGGCCGGCAAGGGTCCGGCCACAAACTAGCTGTTTTTAGCTTGTCCGCCGGAGACATAAACACTGCCGGCAAGCGCGTGGCCAGAAGTGCTCATTTTCAGCTTGGCCGCCGGAGACATAAACACGGCCGGCAAGTGTTTGGCCAGCACTGGTGATTTTCAGCTTGGCCGCCGGGAACATAAACACGGCCGGCAAGTGTTTGGCCACAAGTGCTGATTTTCAGCTTGGCCGCCGGAGACATAAACACGGCCGGCAAGTGTTTGGCCAGCAGTGCTGATTTTCAGCTTGGCCGCCGGAAACATAAACACGGCCGGCGAGTGTTTGGTCAGAAGAGCTGATTCTTAGCTTGGCCGCCGTGGACATAAACATGGTCGACAAGTGTTCGGCCAAAAGTGCTGATTTTCAGTTTCGCCGCAGGGACACCCATAATCTAAAGTTTCATCGCGTTGACGAAACTTTGGCATAACGACGGGCAGCGAGAGAAGCATCATGAGCGAGTGGTTGGCAGGATATTAGTGCGTGCATCGCGCGAACACTGTTAGCGCAAGCAAACGATCACCGTTTTATTCCGTTTTTTTTTTCGTTAGACTTGAAAGGCTATTGTCTTAACTAGCACTGTCGTGCGATATGTTCATTTGGAACATTACTAGAAGTGGGAAAATATTGTGCCCGCCGTTGTTGTATGAAAATAAAATACGAAAGCAGCGCCAACGTCATCTTCGCGCTAACAATACCGCTCTGTCGCTGCGCGGCCCTCTTAGCGCGAATACCACATCCGCGATTTTTCGGTTAGTGCTCCACATATTTACTTCCCAAATGCACTCGAAGAAAAAAAGTTGTTGTCGGGTGCATCGGGCGCACATGCTCAGCTTTCCTGGAAGACGCACCCTCCGTTACCCAGCCAGTGTACCTGTATACCGACCATAAGCCCCCTTCTCTATTTTAAAAACCTATAGGTGTATCAATGCACTCAGCTTAGTAAACCGCCACGCTAGCCACGCACCCCGATCAGCTTGTGCTTGAATCGGATAAGATTGGATATTTCAGGCTTTGTGTTTTGGAAGAGCCTAAACAAGACGTCTCTCATATATTGATTAAACTTAAGCTAGTCTCAGTAATGTTTCATATAGGTGCTAGGATACTGATTTCCTGAGCCAAAGAAAGCTACCAGCTTCGGTTAAAACCGCAACGAAAAGGTTCAAAATCGAACCACGCGTAAAAGAAAAAGAAAATGAACATCTCGACCTAGATGTGCAGAACGCTGGTTTTGTTGTTAACAACGTGGTTGTTGGAGGGTGGTGGGCAACGCCGTGACGCTATTGACGCTATCGTGGTGATTGACGCCAGTGATGCTCGGCCCTACCACACAGTAAAAGTTGTTACACCTTTAAGGGTGTAAAAGGGGTGTTGTAGCAACTTACACCCTCGGCTACACCCTTTTAACACCCTAAAACTAGGAATACAACCTCATAATTTTACCGAAAAAGGTGCTGTTTCGTGTTACACCCTACATTTAGTGAAGAATGTGAGAAGGCTGTAAAAGAGGGTGCTGAATAAATAATGTGAAATGGTTTTGGAAAGCTTATATATGGCTCTGTACATAATGTACAGGTAAGATTTCTGCTTGAAAAGCAACAGTTGTTAGCAGTCTAGTTTCTTATAAGGTCTTTTGTAATTCATGCAAATAGCTAATAATAAAGTGCCTCTTTTGCATACAATCTTTATGTTTGAAAGAAAATTTTATATATGAGTTCATATTTAATTTTCTTACCAATCACTCCATGCTCAGAAATCGGAAAGTAGGGTGAAATGCTCTACACTAGCATTTTTTACAAATATTTATTGATGGAAGTGTACAGTAAGAAAATCTGTTAGTCTCGAGTTTATATCTGGCAACATGAAATTAAAATATTGTGAAAATATTTGACAAATATTCATGACATGGTGCTCGAACCTGTCCCATGACCATGTCAACCCGGGTAAAATAGTCATTTGAGAATATGGTGACATGCACAAAAACTCACACACATAAAGAGGAAAATCTCATAATAAACCAGTTCGAGACATCCCATAAAAAATGGCCTATGGTCGTCTATGGGAAATTCAATGGGAGGCTATCACCCCCTGTAGCTTTGCATGGTCGGCCTCAAAAATTTATAGATACAGCTACAGCCAGCTATAGAAAAGTTTTGGGCCCTGTGTCTAAAGTCTCAGGGCTATGTTTCAATAACAACAACAACAATAATAATAATAATAATAATAATAATAATAATAATAATAATAATATTAATAATAATAATAATAATAATAATAATAATAATCAATAAGTTACTGTTTTAACAGTGTCCCTGGACATCCAATTGTTCTTCTTGCGGGCGCAGTGTAATAGAACGCACAAACAGACGCTTGCGCGCTCGCAGTCGCACACATACACGCGCGCGCGCACGTACACACGCATGCACACGCGCAAACCCACGCCCGCGCGCAGACGCACACGGATGCTCAACCAGAAACGCACACGCACATGCACGCGGACGAATCCACACGCGCGCGCACAAACACAAGGACGCACATGCACACACACAAAATTACGACGAAGGAAACGTTGCTTAAGTTAGTTTCGGTTTCGGTTTACACAAAAAAGAAACAACCTAAAGTTTAAATAAAACCTAAGATTTACTCATATTTTGTAATGTTTTACATTATTATTTTAGTGAAATTCTTATTGTTACTAATATAATAATATTTTGCTTAGTATTGTTCTAAAAAAAAATAACAATAATTAAAAAGGAAAAGCGACTCTTGAAGACTGCGCAAGACCATCGCTATCGCAATCAGCTTCCGTTGGGCTCGGTTAAATGGTTCCTGTAGTTTCAGAGGCTTCGGAAATCTCCTTTTTTACGTTTTAGCCGTTTTAGGGGATATTTTAAATATCTTCCTTAGGAATACCGTGTTCAAGGATAACAATCGATGACTAAAAGCTGGAAGACGCTGCGTCTTGCCAACGCCCGTAAGTTCAGAACCGCCCATGCACGACTCGTGCAAACGCCGGTTAGCAACTTTCTTTTGTTTCTGCAAAGTGGGTAGCTGTTTCAAACATTCTCGTGCACCGTGCGCTTGCTAAGCTATGCTTGATTCTAACTATGCTTCTGCTTTGTGTTATTTCGTTATTTGAAAAGAGCGTATCTTCTTCAAAACCTGTGGCTCGCTCCGCAGTGTGAGAAAGATTCCCGCGCGGCGGAACCGTGGGCATGTTCTTTGCGCCGTCGTGCGGCGCTCGTCCGACGACGCTTGTGCGGAGCGTTCAAGTGCCGTCCGACGGCAGTTCAAGGATTCAGTCGCCGTCCCAAAGTGTTAATCACAGGTCATGCTAGTTCTGACGTCTTGTCCTAACAGCCGCTCGCCACCGATTTGTTTCATAAAGCGGGAGCGAGAAAAACGTTAGAAGAGCGAGCATGCAGCATGATTTTTTGCATAAGCTAATGCCTGTGCGTAGAGACGCGCGGTCTCTTCGTCATATTTCCGATGGTAAAACCGCTAAAAACAACGGACAAACAACGCCCTGTGTTGTTTGTTTCTTTTACTTGTCCATTGTTTTTAGAGGTTTCACCCTCGGAAATTAGGTCTCTTCGCGTTTACCGAACCGGCACAC